GCTTTGGGGGATGTGGGAAATGGATTTACAGAAAATTTTCAAAGTTTGATAGAAGGTTGACAAAGTATGTATTTCTATGGAAACTTTGAGATAAGAAATGTGGATTTAGAAATGTTATGGAATAAGATATCGCTGAGAGAGAAATTGAACTAAAATTAAGTTTTAAAAGATGGTTTTATAAATAAGGGGGATATAGATTTGTTAAATCTATATCTTGTATATCCCCCAGCTTGCATTTTTATTCTTATTTAACATGCTAATTGACCACTTGATAGTGTTTTCCTCCTGACAGCATTTTTTAGATATAAAGGTTATCATAAATATGCAGCTGTTTATACATTGCCATCATATCTGACTCTTCACCAGCTAATGGTTCACAGCTTTGACATTTATCATCTCTGTGTGATATATAAAGATGTCTTTGGAATATGCAGTTATGATCTACAGATGTGCTCATTCCCAAAGGAATGCACATGGCATTAAACCTGTCAGCTTTGTTCCACCCCCTCGGGCAGGTGTTGGCAGAAGTTTGGCCTGGTTGGACCCCAAAATGCAACATCCCAGCAATGCCAGGACCTCTCGTGTGAAGGACTTGGATTGGGTTGAGATCAAACACTCCTGTGATTGCCAGATATTGGAGAAACTCAGTCCTTCAGGTCCCCAAGCCAATGACAGCCCTTAAGGCTCCATTAAACTCCACTTGGGCCCGAATAATCAGGCATGTTTTGGTTGACATGTACCGAATACCTGGGTCAGTCCCACTCCAATTCCCATGCCCCGTTCTGCCTTCAAAATCTCAGTGTTAGCACTAAAATTGAGCCGATAAAATCACCTCTAATTCCAGGCACATTTTTGGTTTCCATGCAGCCATACAAATTCCTTCCAAATCACCACCTGAACTCTCCTAAATAAAACCAAACTTTTCCAAGCGGTTTCTATTGTTTACCTTCATTCCAGCTACTCATCACCCCTAAAATTGTGGGCATCGAGGTGTACAGTTCTTCTGCCTTTAACTCCATGAACTCAGGAGTTCTGGAAAGTTCTTGTTCTAGCTGAGCAACCGACCACCTCTTGGCTGCGGCCTCTGCTCCGGGATGGAATCCAAAGTCATCCCGATCCACCTCGTTCTCGGCATCAAACTCGGCCTCCTCTCCGCTGCCCTGGGAGCTGTGGGCGGGATCCGAGGCTCCGGCTCGCTCGGCTCTGTCCGATTTGCACCCTCCCAGCTCCCGGCCCTGCGACAGCCCCAGGTGCTTGCGGCGCTTCCTCGTGGAGCTCTGTTTCCTGCCTCTTTTGGCCAGCTGCGTCTCTGCCCGCTGCAGGATCACCTGTGAGGACAGGTAGCTGCTGTAACTGCTCCAGGAGTTTTCATTCCCGTTGGGTTTTTCATCCGGGATCGAGTAGGAACGCCGGGGGTTGCTCTTTGCTTTCCTTCTGGAGCGATAAAGAGCAGGGCGGGCAGGGGTGGGCTCAGTGCTCGCACTTTTGGCCGAGAGGCTGAGGTAATGATCCTTTTCCTTTTCATTAATATCCAATGAGGACTTGATGAAGGTCTTGCAGACATTGAGGATATCTGTCATCTGCAGATAGCTGGCGGCTGACATGACTTCGATCACATTCTGACCCGTTAAAGACAATATCCCTGAATACACAAAGTCCAGGATGACCATGAACGTCTCTGGAGAGAAGACCTCAAACGTGGCTATTGTTGGCTGGCTCGTCTCCTTCGAGCTCTGCGAAAGGAGCATTTTGAAGTAGCCACTGCTGGCAAACAGCACATTGCGATGGGCTTTGAAGACCTTGCCGTCCACCAGGATGCTGCAGTCACAGAACAAGTCCTGCTTCCGCTGCTCGTTCAGCTGCTCCAGGAGGCGAGACTGGTGGGAAGAAATCTCCATTCCAGGCGGGGAGGAAGAGGAAGGTTTGCTGTAAAGGAAAAAACATCATCATGATCATCTAAATCAATGATGCTGAATCCTAATTCAAAGAGATGAGCTCTCTTTTTAAAAGCGCTATCGCATTCCCAAAGTATTTCAAATCTCCCTGCGGCCGCTACTCTGCATAACAAGAGAGAAGAAACTTAACTCCAAAAGAGGTGAAAAGATGTCCCAGCGGGATTACTCCGTATCCCAAAAGAATGAAAATTATGTCGACCAAGCCATGATGGTTCTCAGACTCTGCAAGAGAACTTGGCCCTCCCGCCCTGGGCAGAGCCGCGGCTGACGCGGGCGCACGGTGGGCGCAGCCTCCGCCCCGGCGCACCGGGACCGCTCGAATGCGGCGGCAGCGCCCCGGGGTCGCCGCCCTCCCGTCCCGAACCCCCGGCATTGGCCGCGGCCGCCGTCACTCACCCGCCCGCCCGGCCGAATTGGCCGCTCGCTCCCCGGCAGCCCGGGACGCCCGACGGCGCCGGAGCCGCTCCGCCAGCGCGGAGGCGCCTCCCGGTCCCGCTCCCGGTCCCGCTCCCGCCGCGGGGAGCGCAGCGCCCGCCTGTCCCGGCCGGCTGCGCGCTGCTCTCCGCCCGCACGGACCGCCCCGCCTCGGGCCGGGCGTGCCGCCCGCAGCCACCCGCGGCAACGGAGCCGCGGCTGCCGCTCCGCCAGAGCCCCCCGTGTGTCCGCCCGCTGCCGGGCGCCCGTGGTTACCCCGGCCGGTCCCGGTCCCGTTCCTGTCCCGCCGCGCCCTCTCGCCTCCGCCGGCAGCGCCCCCGCCGCCCCCTCTCGCCGCCGCCCGCCCCGCGCAGCCCCTTTGTGTCCGCGCCCGGGGCTGCAAATGGCGCCCGCCGGGGACGCGGCAGCGCCGGCACCGAGCGGCTCCGGGCAGCATCGAGCGGCTCCGGGCGGCCCCAGGCACCCGCGGCCACTGCGGAGCCCCGCGCCCTCCTCGCCGCCGCCCGCTCGCAGCCGCCGTCAGCCCCAACGCCCGCCCGGTCCTTCCCATCAGCGCGGAGCACAACGGGCACTCACCGGCGGGGAGCTGCGGGCGGCTGCCGCCGAGCCGGGGGGAGCGGGCGGTGGCTGCGGGATCCCCGGCCCCGCCTCGGGGCTCGCCGTGCCTCCAGGCGCCGCTGCTCCCGCAGCCCCGAGCCCTGCGAGCCCGAACGGCACAGAAACAAAAGGTATTTGCTGACGTGGGCGTTGGACAGAGACGCCCGAGGGCTGGGGACACAATTAAAGGGGCAACGCAGCGATTGCAGCCGCAGCCCAGCGCCTGCCTCGGCCCCAGCGCCCCGCACACCCGCATGCTGCTCCGAGCCGCTGCCCCGCTCACACCGCGCTTTGTTGTTGTTGCTACCTTTGTGTTTGCACAGGGAAGGCGCCACCTGAACGGGAACGGCAGAGATGCGGAGCTCCGCGGTGTAGGATTAATGATATTAACTCGATATCGCAGCATTTTTATAACGGGATTTTGGTATTCAAACAATGAGGGTAATCCCAAAGCAAAGCGCTGCGCTGTAGGAGTGCAATACACAGATTGTCCTGTTTTCCCTTCAGGGTGGTAAATGGAATCAGGATGCTTGTTAGAAGACAAGACACTTTCAAATTCGTGCCTTTGAGAGTCTTTCAGTCTTTTCAGTCTTATTCCTGGAGATCATGGAATCATTTTGGGCAGGAAGCCCTGCAGCCATCGGTACAGTTCCCTCCTCGGAGCAGGCTGCAAGAACCTGGCAAAGAACAGTTCCCATTTCCACGGCAAGGTCGGGTGAGACCTTCAATAGTGTTTAATTTATTCCAGCAGCTAAGCCAAGACAGGGAAGGCTCTTTCCAGCCACTCCTCCCAATTTTCCTTACAAAATCTCTTGTTCTGTGTTCTTGCTCTGTTTAAAATTCCTGATGCACTGAATAAGCCTCCTCTTTGCATTGCATGAGTTAAGTAGGATGAAAGGTTACGCCTCCATTGTAGAAAGGTTTTAAATTTAAACAGTATAGAAAATATTTAACTAAATGATATTATAAGCTTTTCTTAGTAGCTTATCAACTTAAACCCATCACTCAACAGTGTTGGCACGAATTTGTACCTAATGGAAAAATTCTGCAAGGCAAGGGCTGAAGGATTAGAACATCCTTTTCTTCAAAACTCAATCTTTTAGGCAGAACTGGAGATTTTTTCCTTCTATTTCATTTTTGTACTTGTTGCCTCCAACCATCAGTAACTAAAACATAAGAGAGGTAGACATTGGCATGGCTTGAGATGGATCCCAAAATCCTGGAGGATGGAACAGGCAAGGATACCTGCAGCAGTCAGAGCCAGCCCTCTGTGAGGTCTGTGGGCTTCCAGTATTTTCAAAGCCACCCTAAATCAATATTTTTTGGGTTTTTTTTCTTATGTCAGTTCTTTAGAACTGGAATAGAATCCAAATTACAAAAGGTTGGAAAGGGAGATTGATTCTGAAGTCAGTCTTTGGGATCTTTTTTTTTTTTAAGTGGGGCTACCCAACTGTTTCACCTTTAAGATAAGGACAAATTACATTTTTTTGGATAGCAAATATGGATGTTTAGGTAATTTAATGGCAATCAAAAAAAAAAAAAAAAAAAAAGTGAAATTCTGTGAAAGAACTAATCAAGCATCACACAAGTCATAGGTTTTTTGGGGCAGAGAGAATTCTGTAAGAAACACCTGAAAAGGAAGAGAGGGGTTTTTTTTAATTCAGCATTTCAGCCTTTGAAAGGATGGGAAGATGTCAAAAATAAGGATAGTTAAGAGACATTAATCAGAGAATGATGAACTTCACTCTTGACTGTGGTTTTGTGAATCGAAAGTAAACACAAACCAAGCAAAAATAATCACAGAATTCTTTGAAAAGACCCCCTAAGATCAAATCCAGCACTAAACCCTGTCCCTAAGAGACATAAAGATGAAAGAAATACAAGGAAATGAATAAATTCAATGGGAACATCCCTGTGTGGTCTTTACTTTCCTCCTTGAAAGGAAATGTTCCTTGAGCTGATGAGGGGCATGTGATGCTCACAGAAATGTGAAGAAGACAATCAGAGGCAATGGAAGGAGACAAAAAGAAAAATACTTTCATTTAGAGAAAAAAAACCCAAGGAAAATATAGGAGTGTGAAATGAAGGACGTGGAAAACAGAAGGCACTTAACATTTATCTTGTCTTGCAATACAAAGGGAAGGAAACAATGACCAAAATTAAGACAACAAATGTAAAAATGGGTAACTTTTAAAAACCAGAAAAACAGCATAGACTGTGGGAATCGCAGCCTTGAGCTAAACCTCCAAGCTTAATATGATACTTTAAAACTTACTACAGATATCTAGTTATACTAATGAGAATAACAACACATAAATCCAGAAAAAAAGCCCTTATTTGCCCAGCAAATCAACAATTAATCTGTGTTTAAAGAGTAGAAGTGTTCCTGTGGATAGATTGCTCCATTTGCCCATTTAGAGCCACTTCAGATCTCATTCTGAAGCATCTGCTCCTCAGTATTGTTAGATTTATGACCTCTAATTAAATTGAGTATTGATCCAAAAATCCCTTTGCTTCTAAAAACACCCCCACTATTAAGAAACACTTAATAGTGTGACCTTTGCAGTTGGCAGTTAAGAATTCAGGTCTGGAGAGAACACTTCATTTTCCCCTCCCCTTCATCCATCCCCAGACAAACCCAGCCCAGTTCCAGCCACGTTTTTACCCTGGGACAGCAGGCACTGATACCTGGGATTTGTTGTCAAACTGTTTAATGGAAAGGCAAAGGGAAACATCTATGAAATTTGAGCAAAGTTACTCCATATCCTTTGAAATATTTCTTGTTCTGTGTATTTGATTTAGTCCAGGTTGCTCAGGAATATTTCTAAGCCATTTAATAACAGGCATTTTAGGAGTTTAAAAGCTCCAAGAAATTAAATGTCTGTTTTCACATCAAGTCCATTTTTGGGCTGCTGACCAAGTGTCCCATAAAATCAAGTGCAAGTCTTGTTTTAAGATGTTTTCATCTGGGTCATCACCAAGATTTTTAAGTCACCCCCTCCCCAAAGCTAAGCCAATAAATTATAATTTTTGTAGGAACAATAAAACACCATTTCTTGTGTCCTTGGGATGCTTCCCATGAAGAGGAGGGTGCATAATGCTTACACTGAATTTAACATGAAGTTCTCAAGTTGTCATTTGTTGGTCACCTGCAGCCTGGAATGAAAATTCTGCACTCTCTGGTCATGATGATACAAGAAAGTTATACAGTTTTTACACAACTAAAAAGAAAATAGTGACTTTTTAGCTGTCCCTGGGAAGGGTTATATAGTATATATACATATACATATATATTTATATATATGTATGTGGGATTGTTGTGTAAGAAACCCCAGGGTTCAGCCAAACATGCTTACAAAGCTGTAAAAAAGAAAAAAAAAAATAGATAGAATTTTCTAAGTCTACAGCCATTGAGTTCCATGATCCCAAGAGCTGGAATAACACTCGGGTGTGTCCAAGGAATGCAGAGCAGCAGCACCCCAGGAGCATCTCCTGCTCCTCTCCTCTTGACAGTGCTGGGCAAGGAAAACTCACCAAGCAGCAAAACCAAGCTTATTTTGTTAGAGAAGTCAAATTTCTTCATCATTACTCATCTCTGTAGCCTAACTGTGGGTGAAATGACACAATATGGTGTCTAGAAGTTCCAGTAAATCTTGGTTTTACTGGCACAAACTGGAAAAGGTGTACAGAATTCAATATGCTGAGCTGGAGGGGACCCACAAGGATCATCCAAATCCAGCTCCTGGCCCTGCACACCCACAATCCCACCATGTCTGGGCACTTTTGAGAGGTTTCCAAATATAAAAAAAGAGTATTTTAATAGTCCTTGTTAAAACAGCCCCGTCTGAGATCCTAATATTGAGACTAAAACATCTACTGCCATCATTGAATGATCCAAATTTTTAATCAGTTTGTCTCTGATGTGTTAAGCATTTATGTGCTTATTTTCTTTGAAAGAAATAAGTCTTGAACATATGATCTACTAAAGATTCATCTCATCCTAATAAATTTTACAGAAATCCTTTTCCAGACAAAAGTGCCCAAACGTTTAAATGTTCTTTCTTAATTAGCTGCTGTTTTCTTTATCATAACAAGAAGATTTCATGACATTTCATGGATAATTCTCTTCACTTCTGAACACTCAAGAGAGGTTGGCTGGTGTGGGGGTTTTACACTTTGTTTATAGCCCAGTGATATAAACCCCATCTCTCTGCAAGTGTAAAAAATGAGCAATTTACAATAATCTGTGACTTTTTAAAAGTATTTAAACCTCCTTGCAAGAGGCTTTGAGATGTGCCCCATTGCCTGCTATAAAACTTATTATTCACATAATTCTGCAGTTTCCTTGTTTAGCCATAATTTCAGGATGGATCTTTTTTAACCAAACAACGCATGGGGGTTCTGCTATAAAAATTATCCACTTAATTCTGCAGTTTCCTTGTTTAGCCATAATTTCAGGATGGATCTTTTTTAACCAAGCAACGCATGGGGGTTCTGCTATAAAAATTATCCACTTAATTCTACAGTTTCCTTGTTTATCCATAATTTTAGGATGGATCTTTTTTAACCAAACAACATGGGGGTCCTGCTATAAAAATTATCCACTAATTCTGCAGTTTCCTTGTTTATCCATAATTTTAGGATGGATCTTTTTTAACCAAACAACACACGGGGGTTCTGCTAACAAACCAGCATGGCCTCAATGACGTGTCCATAAATACATGCAAGTCTGGACCTGTTCAACCACGTGTCCCTGTAGGATCAGCTGGCAGAGGGCATTTGCTCACAGTACATCCTCCTCCCTCTTCCACAAAACTCCCAATCCTCGTCTTCCAACTACCTAATGTTTGGTTTCACTTCCTTCTCCTCCGCTTCATCCTCGCTGTCATCCACCTGCTGGATGACCAAGTCGTTGGAGCCGTCCTCCACGATCTCCACGTCAGACCTGTTGTCCTCCCCGTAGTGCCACCTGGAGTCCTTGTCCCCGTCCTGGGGGAACTCCAGAGGTGCCTCGGCCTCCAAGTCAATGCGGATGCTGTCGATGCCGGCCTCTGCCAGGCACTCGTTGCACAGTCTGTAGCGCCGCGTGCCCTCCTGCACCACCTGGCCCGTCAGCTCCGTCACGTGCCGCTTGCACTTCCTGCAGATGGGCTTGCACGCCTGGTGGATCTGGGCAAAGCACAAGGGATGTGGTTGGCTTGGGATTTCAACGGTTGGGTTGGGATTTCAATGGTTGGGTTGGGATTTCAACAGTTGGGTTGGGATTTCAACGGTTGGGTTGGGATTTCAACGGTTGGGTTGGGATTTCAACGGTTGGGTTGGGATTTCAACGGTTGGGTTGGGATTTCAACGGTTGGGTTGGGATCTCAACGGTTGGGTTGGGATTTCAACGTTTACCTCAGAAACTCGGCTCCTCCCGTGATGATTTCCTGCAGGGTGTGTCCATCACCTCTCCCTTCCCTTCCCTTGCCCCTTGCTGGGTAATGTCTGTCAATCTCCAGTGATTGGCAGGCTCAAAGGATGCCTCTACCCCTGGGGGGGCATTGGGCCATCCAGGTGTCCTTTGTCCCTTTGTCCCTCCCCTCCTGTACCCACTTGGTGGCTCCCTGCCCCTTCCCTGCCCCTCTCCCCTGGGGTGTCACAGACATCTTTTATGAAAAATCCTTTCCTTAGGATTGTTCCTCCTGAGAAGCCTCAGGAACAAAATGTAACCAATGGTTATCTGCTGCTGTGGAATGCAACAGGGGCATCTGGGATTGGTCTCATGTGGATGTTTCTAATTAATGGCCAATCACAGCCCAGCTGGCTCAGACTCTCTGTCCGAGCCACAAGCTTTTGTTATCATTCCTTTTTTTTCTATTCTTAGCCAGCCTTCTGATGAAATCCTTCCTTTTATTTGTTTAGTATAGTTCTAATATAATATATATCATAAAATAATAAATCAGCCTTCTGAAACATGGAGTCAGATCCTCCTCTCTTCCCTCATCCTCAGACCCCTGTGAACACGGTCACACCTGAGTTAAAAGGAGCAGCAACCACGGGCTCAGGGAGTTCTGCTGGAGCTGGTGCTGCATTCAGAGGCCTGAGGGCCAGAATAAAGCTCTGGATCCAAACCCTCCCTCAGAACCGACTCCTTTCCTTCACCATTGCCTTAAAGCTTCTCCGGCAGAGGGAAACCTGAGGAGCAGCCCCTGTAGGCCTGGACTTGTCCCCACGTGCCCAACTGCAGCACCCAGCCAGCCAAAAGTGTCTGTGGGGTGAAACACCACACACCCAGGCAGCCAAAAGTGTCTGTGGGGTGAAACACCACACACCCAGGCAGCCAAAAGTGTCTGTGGGGTGAAACACCACACACCCAGCCAGCCAAAAGTGTCTGTGGGGTGAAACACCACACACCCAGCCAGGCAAAAGTGTCTCTGGGTGAAACACCACACACCCAGCCAGCCAAAAGTGTCTCTGGGTGAAACACCACAGTGCTGCTGTTTGGTTCAGACCCAGGGGCCAGAAAAGCTCAGGCACGTCCCATCTGGCAATATTGGTAATATTCCAATAGAGAACTTTGTTTCTTTCTTATGACCAATGGGCAGTGAATGTGTCTGTTAAGTAAATGTAAATATCTTGAAAAACTATAAAGGCAACGTGTTGCTATAAAAAATCTCTCTTATGCACCCTTCTGATGGAGTCTTGGTGCTTTATGCTGTGTTGCTCTCTATAGTGACAGACTGTCACTGTCATATTTTCTGAAAAATCCCTTCACCAGGATTTCTTCTCCTGGGAAGCTGAGAAGCCTCAGAGAAAAATGAAAACAATAATTATCTGATCTGCTTCTCCTGTGTTTTGCTGCTTTGCAATGTGGTTTGGACATTGTTACCAACTGGTCATGGTTTGATTGGTTTCATATGAATTGTTTTGACTGAATGTCCAATCACCATCAGCTGTGTCAGACTCTGAGGAGAGAGTCATGAATTTTTCATTATTATCTTTTAGCCTTGTGTCTGTATCCTTTCTCTATTCTTTAGTATAGTTTAGTATAACATTATATCATATCATATCATATCATATCATATCATATCATAATGAATTAGTCTTCTAAGAACATGGAGTCAGATTCACCATTTCCTCCCAACAACAGGGGACTCAGAAAATACCACACACAGCATTGCCTCAATTTGAGAGACATCAAACACTGAACTGCACCAGCCCAGGCACAGTAATTGCCCACTGGAGCTCTCACAGGCTGCAGAGAGCAGAACCTCTGCAAGCCATCAATTAACCAACAAATTCCTCCCCTTTCCTGCAAATTATCCTTCAATTCGACTGCAACCAAACGAAATTAATTTTCTATTCCCCTCTTCTTTACGGGAGTCATTAGATCAACCAGATACACTCACACTGTGTTTAATTAGCTAGATTTACACGTTAAATAAATCATGCACTTGCTAAAAATACTCACAGTTCGAAAATGGCTGCTGAGGTGATCCAGCCTGCTGAATCTCTTCCCACACGCCTCGCAGGGGTACGGCCGCTCTCCCGTGTGACAGCGAAGGTGACGCTTCAGGTCAGCTTTTCTCTTCACCACGTGGCTGCAGAACGGACACTTGAACCTCATCCTGGCCAGGTCATCTGTCAGATAATAACGGGATTAAAAAAAGTCAAAATTGTGTCGTGCAATGCTCTAGGGAAAAGTGTTTTATGAGAAGAATAGCACATCGCTTTTATTAAAATAATATTCATGGATTGTTTGGAGCACAAAGGTTTTGTGTTTGCCTGTAGATTACACAGCAGTGCAACAAAGGAGGAGTGGACCATTAACACAGACTTGGCAAAGCCAGCCTGGACAGGGCTTGAAGCAACCTGGGATAGTGGGAGGTGCCCCTGCCCATGGCAGGGAGTGAAGCAAAATGAGCTTTAAGGTCCTTTCCAACCCAAACCATTCTATGATTTCACGAAAATGAGCTTAAAAATATCCCAACTTATATTTATTTTTAAATTTAATACCCCAGCTACTTCAAGAACTCAAAATTATTTCAAGATCACGAGTTAAACTTTCCAAACGTACATTTCTGGACAATACACCCGTCTTTTTGGCAATTGTGCTTTCCTATTGAGCAAGACCTATTTCCTCAGAGCCAGAAGAGAGAGGATTCACAGGTGTCCAAACCCCACTCACCTTCAGCCCAGTTGCCCATGACTCCCAGGATGGAGGGCATGCTCCCATACTGCTCCTCAGCTTTGGAGGACTTGGACTTGCTGGAGGAGCGGGGTGACTCGTGCTCCTGCTGCGACACAGCCAAGGCCCTGGGCATCACCTCAGCGCCCTGGCTGAACTGGTAACCCACGTGAGGAGGAGCTTCCACCTCGGTGTCAATGTGAACTTGCTCCTCGGGCGGCGCGGCGTGGCCGGCGGGCTCGGCGGCCCTGTCCTCCAGCTTGCTCGATTTATAGTGGGGGATGTCTGAAGGCTGCTGCAGCCCCAGGTGCCGGGATTTCTTGATGGAATCCTGCCGCTGCTCGTGTTTGGACAGCTGCTGCTGCTGCTGCTGCTGCTGCTGCTGGGCATTTCTTTGAGAGCTGGGGTAATAGTTGAAATTGCTCCAAGCGTTGCCGCCCATCATGCAAGTCCCAGGGTCTGGGCTGGAGTGGGGATGTGGGGGGCTGCTCTCCGCCCTCCACCCTCCGCTGTACACACAGGATCGCTCCACGCCGTTGGAGCTCACATCTTTGTCTGACAGGCTGAAGTAGCGATCCTTCTCCTTCTCACTGATGTCCAGCGACGACTTGATGAAGGTTTTACACACGCTGATCACATCAGTCATCTGCAGATAGCTGGCGGCTGACATGACTTCGATCACATTCTGACCAGTGAGGGACAGTTTGCCTGAATACACAAAATCCAGGATAACTGTGAAGGTGTCAGGAGAAAAGGCCTGGAAAGTGGCTGTGGTGGACTGACTCGTCTCCTTCGAGCTCTGCGAAAGGAGCATTTTGAAGTAGCCACTGCTGGCAAACAGCACATTGCGATGGGCTTTGAAGACCTTGCCCTCCACCAGGATGTTGCAGTCACAGAACAAGTCCTGCCTGCGCTGCTCATTTAGTTGCTGCAAGAGGTGAAACTGATGAGAAGAAATCTCCATCCCAGAAAAGGTGAAATGAAACGTTGCTCTAAAAATATGAAGAAAATGATTACACTCTTGACTTCAATGCTGTGTAACTCGGCCAAAAATGTCAGACACAATTTTACGGCTATCTTTAAAAATAGTCTCATTTCTTGAAATCTACAAATATATTCAAACCACGATATGCTCAACCATGGATTCATTTTCCAACAGGACAAGAGGGATGACAAAGCCAAGCCCGCGTTATTTGGCACAGACGGGTGTGCTCCAGCCGGGAGCATCCCCATGCCCAGGATGCGGGGCTGGATGCGGGGCTGGAGCCGTGCCGCCCGCTGGAGCTGCGCAGCCTTCAGGCAGCTCCGGGAAGACGAGGAGCCAAGAGCAGCTGCGGCTGCGACCGCGGCCGAGCCTCGAACCGGCGCTTCCGCCTCGCCCCGCTCCGCCCGGGCCGCGCCGCCGCCGCCGCCGCCGCCGCCGAAAGCTCCGGGAGCGACGCTCGGCGGCAGCGCCCCGGCCCCCCCGACATTGGCCGCGGCCGCCGTCACTCACCCTCCCGGCCGGTCCCCGGCGGCCCGGGACGCCCGACGGTGCCGGAGCCGCCCGGTCCCGCTCCCGCCTCGGGGACCGCAGCGCCCGCCAGCCCCGGCCGGGCTGCGCTGCCTTCCGCCCGCACGGACCGCCCAGGGCCGGGCGCGCCGCCCGCGGGAACGGAGCCGCGGCTCCGCCAGAGCCCCCCGTGTGTCCCCCCCGCCCGGTGCCCGGTGCCCAGCGCCCGGTGCCGCTCCCGGCCCGCCGCCCGCAGCCCCTTCCGCCGGCAGCGCCCCCGCCCGCCCCGCGCAGCCCCTTTGTGTCCGCGCCCGGGGCTGCAAATGGCGCCCGCCGGGGACGCGGCAGCGCCGGCACCGAGCGGCTCCGGGCGGCCCCGGGCGGCTCCGGGCGGCTCCGATCGGCACCGAAGCGCCCGTGGCCGCTGCGGAGCCCCGCGCCCTCCTCGCCGCCCTCCTCGCGAGCCGGGCTGGCTGCGGGGCCCGTTCCGCCCCAAACCCAGCGCCCTGCCCGGCCTACCGGCGTGCGGGAGCCGCCACTCACCGGCGGGGAGCTGCGGGCGGCTGCCGCCGAGCCGGGGGGAGCGGGCGGTGGCTGCGGGATCCCCGGCCCCGCCTCGGGGCTCGCCGTGCCTCCAGGCGCCGCTGCTCCCGCAGCCCCGAGCCCTGCGAGCCCGAACGGCACAGAAACAAAAGGTATTTGCTGACGTGGGCGTTGGACAGAGACGCCCGAGGGCTGGGGACACAATTAAAGGGGCAACGCAGCGATTGCAGCCGCAGCCCAGCGCCTGCCTCGGCCCCAGCAGCCACAAACTGCCCGCGAGGGGATGCGATGGGATGCCCCAGATGCCTCCTTTTCACACCTTTGTCCATAGCAGGGGCCTCGATGACCCAAATCCTTCTCCTTTCTCTTGCAGCATCCTCCAAAGGAGATGTGACATCCTCTTTTCTCTGTTGGTATCTGTTATCTTCTGAAGAAAGCATGGCTGAAAACGAAACCTGAACCTCTCACCTTCTCTCCCTCGAAGTTTCGTATCTTTCTCCTTCCTCTTCTTACCACCAGGGTCTTTTCTGTGATTTTGACGCCCTAGTTATTTTTCATAAATATTTATTTTCCCATGGAAACCGTTCTTCCTTAACCGAGCTCTTTGCGGCCTTTTTGGCCTTCCCTTCTCTAACTTCAGACATTCCACCTTGAAAGAATTTATCTTTCTTTCCCCCTCGTAGCAAAATTAACTAAAGACTTTATCTAAACATAAAAATCCAAAGACTCTTTCCTTTCATCACTAGAACCACTCTCCCACTAATTCATATACATTTATTAATCTCCAATTTATATCCATTCATATTATATATATATATATATATATATATATATATATATATATATATGTATATGTATATGTAATAATATTCTTTTCCAAAATTCCCCATTTTTCATAAATTTTATTAGTTTTGTAGATTTTCCTTTCCAACCCAGGCCATGATCTTAAAATCTTCCTGAGACCCATTCTGCTTCTGTGAGATTCTAAATTCTTGAACATGAAACAACTGGAATTCACCCCAGTATCTCACAGCTCTTACCAGTGAGAAATAAAGAATATAATCAACTAAACAGTCAGATTGTTTAATATATAAACCAGAACATTTATTTGTAGTATCAGGTTTTAATACCACTTGAATTCATTCCTTTAAAGTTTATTTTTGCCTGTCAAGCCAAGTAAGTAGCAGCTTTTTTAATTTAACATGGAATCACAGAATCCCAGGATGGTTTGGGCTGGAAAGGACCTTAAAGACCATGGGCAGGGACACCTTGTTGCTCAACATTCTACATATTTTTTTCCCACATTTCTGCCCAAATTATTTCATCAGCTGAAAGCTTCCCTTGGAAAAGAATTATCTGGAGGTATTTGTTCTGTTTGACTTGCCTGGGTGGTGCTTTCACTCCTGTCACTGGGGCTTTGTATCAATGTCAACAGGAGCTTGAGGGTTCTCCTTCTGCCAGGAACAGGCAAGAGAATTTAAAAAACATGGGGGGGGGAAATTTCAGTGTTATCTGGAGTAGCTTAATTAGAATTTTTACAGATGCTACAAGTGCTTTCCTCAGAGCACCTCTGTGCTCACTGCTGTGCTCTGGATCCAGGAACAGCCACAGAACAAACTTTGGTTTCCTCATCCGTGGGGTTGGTTTCGTCCTGTTGTGCACAGTAATGCATCCCAAACAATCCCAGACATCAGAGAGGGTTTTTTTTTTTTTTTTAGGTTGTGTTTCTAAATTTTAGAGCTAATTTCAGCTGAGAAAGTTCCACTTGAGATGCAGTTTGGAGAGTTTATCCAGAGGGAATGTGCTTGGCAGCTGTGTGAAGGAGGTGAAGGAGCTGCTCCTCACAGCCAGAGTGCAGAGTCTGCTCTTCAGAGAATAATCACACTAAAAAATTACATCTTTCTTGCTCATAGAAAAATTAACATGCATTTCTCTTTGGGTTTGGTAACTAAATAGGATTAACAATAATAATATATCATGGTATAGTGTAATATATTATAATAGTTCAATTAACAGTGGCGCCAATTAAAAGATTTCAGTTCTCCTCAAAATAAATATTCCTCATGAATCACAGCCTTCAGTGATGGGTGCATCTTCTAACTTTAATTATCCAGGGATATTTTTTGCCAAGGAAAACTCAAGAGCCTATACTAGAACAACTGAAGGAACTGTTCAAAGCCTAGAAATGAATTAGGAATGAGATTTCAATTTTCATGTCATCACTGCCAGCTTGGATTTGGGTTTTCTTCATTTGTATCATCGTTCCTGTCCTCAGCTTTGCCAAGGACCAAACCAGGAGAGCTGAATCACGCAGGGTTTGAGCTCCACCTCTGTGTCCCAGCACAACCCCAAATCTCTGAGTACAAACCCGTGGAGTAGCAGGGGATCTCTTCCTTTCTCAGAATGAGCAGGAAATCAGAATGTCCTGCCCTAAACCCCCGGTCCAGGGAGGAACCTTCCCCCGGCAGCAGCAACGTCCAGTTTAGGAAAAGCCTGAGATTCGGTGGAAGCCCAAATCCTAATCCTGTTCCAGCAGCACAATTAAAGCCTCGTCAAGCTCTTATCTCACCCAGTTTCCTGGAACACCCAAATGCCCCACGTTTGCATACAGCTCACCTCGATGGCTTAGGGCTGGACCCAAAGAATTCCCAAATCCTCCCCAAATCCTTCCCGACTTCTCTGACACCCTCTGAGCCCTGCTCTCCTCCTCCTTCCCCCACAAAAAATCCTTTTCACCAAGGGTGGAGATAACCACCCTCATCCCCTCTCGAGTTCTTCAGTGTCTCACATCTTCCATGGAAAGAAAAAAGGAAAAATTGTCTGCTTGCAGCGAGATTTTTTTTTTGTCAAATATTCAATATAATTTAAAATTTTCTGGAAAGGATATTTGGGATGTTGTCCTCCCCACATGCATCTCCTTCTAACTAGGATCAGTGTCTGCTTCCCAGCTTGAAAAATGAGAAGTTGAAAAAGTTGAATTAACATAAAACTACAAAGACTGTTTAAAAAATTAATAAAATAAAATATTTTCTAAAAATCTCACTTGGCTGGGGTTTAAGTGAACAGAATCCTTTTAGTCCTTTCCTTCCAAAATCCTTATTTTTCTTGCAATCTAGCTGCCCCCAAAAATTGATATGTTGATTTTTAAACCAAATTAATGAAATGGAAACATGAATTATTTCATTTTAATGCCAGAAATTGAAAGGTGAGCCTCAATCTAGACACTCTCAGGTTTACTCAGTCAACATTTGAACGGTAAAAAAAATCAAAGCAACCCTCTCAGAGAGTTTTATTTTCTAGACAATCAAAAAAACTCCAGAATGCTCCAAGATCCACAAATATAGTTCAGTCACTTCCACAAATAAGGGTCAGTTTATAAGAATTTGTCATTGTTACTGGACTAAAGGACTTCAGTTATGAAACTGTCTTACAAAACATCAGGAAATTCAACGACCACATTTGGAAGATTTACAAGGGCTTTGCACCAAGAGGTTAAATGCACTACAAACACCAGTGCAGCATGTATTCCTTCAGTGAAATACAGTGCATTTCTGTGCAAAAATACATTAAAATGTGTATTCCTAAACAAAGTCAAGTACAACGAGCTAAGTTTTAAGATATGTCATCTTCACGGCCTTTAAAAACCTTTGAGAAAGAGATTCTATTAGAAATAACTCCCCTAAAAAGATGATTTTTGATTCTTCATCAAGCACCACAGGAAGGTTTTTTGTTTGTTTTTTTTTTTTTTAAACAGCCAACATCATTTTCTCAAAGCTTGTAGAGGCTGGATCTACAAATGGAAGATTTCAGAAAAAACATCCAGAAAACGAAGTGGAAAGCACAAGCAAAAACGGATTTACATGAACACCCCGGTCACAAGCATGTGGATAAATAAACTCCATCCTCTTCTACATCCAAAGGCTGAAAAGACTCCACAGAAAACAAAAACAAAGCAGCACAAAATGACAATTGAACAGGAACCACCGAGTTTGGTGGAAATTTCCCTGTGGAAAATGCTCCCCCCGCCCGCCCCGGCCCCCTGACAGCTCCATTCCCTAGGCACAAACACACAAGGACAATCTCGAAGAGCAAAGACAGCAGGGTGGAGGAGAAAGTCTCTGCAGCCATTCCTGCAGCTTCCAAAGGGTTCCTTTTCCCTGCTCCAAGTGTCTCCACAGGCTCAGTCAGCAGAGTTCAGCCACACCAGGAGCTCCCCAGCCTTGTGGAGCACGAGCCGGGAGCAGCTCAGTCGATATTCCAGGTCTTGTGGCTTTTACCAGTATTTACAATGAGGTGGAATCTTCATGATTCTAAATATTCATTTGATCCCTATTTACATTCCTGCCCCACTTCCATCAGTGAGTCTCCCAAAAAAAAAAAAAAAAAAAAAAAAAAAAATCAGATTTATCCATGGCTCTCAAGGCAGAAAGTCCCTCCTTTATCACCTTTATCGCCCTGTGGTTTTGAGTGGACTCAGCAAAAATCCAGCAGTCCAAAAGAGGAGCCCTGGGAGGCTGGAAGGTGCTTTTCCAAACATCCCAGCAAGGTTTACAAACCCCACACTTTGCTCAAGAGCTCCAAGGAGCCAAAAGCACAGGAATTTCAGAGGAGCTCCACTCCAAAGGTGGCACCTCCACGGGCTGTCCCTTTAATGTCCCTTAATTCAGATCGACCAAACCAGGGGCTCTAGAGCAGGGAATTCTGTAAAGGTCTTGTCCCCTGCTCCAGCTCCTACAAACTCAAATTTCCAGCTGATCTGGAACAGGAATGACTGAAAATCACCCAAATTAAGGGACAGAGAATAAAGCCAGCACATTACGTGGTGACACTCATCAAGAACTTGGACCACACCACTCCCAAAGAAATCTCTTCACCTTCTGCTCTTTGCAGCAGCCACCAATAAAGAGAATTCTTTAAAAACAACTTTGATTCTTCCTTCCTCATCCTACCTGGTGTGGCAAGGAACCCTTGGCTGCACTTGTGAGAGCAGAATCACCTCTCACAAATAAACCTGACATGACAGTGGGGCAGTTTCACCAGAGGGAGAAGCTGAATTGTTCTTTTTCAACGCGGACAAGAAAAGCACGAGGTATGCAGAACAAACCCTGGTTAAATCAAAAGGCTCTTG